AGAAACTGTATCCCAAAATTTTAAAGAGAGAACAACTTATATATATATATATACACACACACCAAAAATAAGGTTAACTATGAAGAGATAGAATATGACTCTAAAAATGAAAAATAAAGATTTTTTGAATAAGGGATTGATAAGATGTTGGTTGAAAAAGGGAAAAAGAAAAATTCAACAAGAAAAAAATAGGAAAAAGAAAGTTAAAAAAAAAAAAAACTTTGAAAGACTAAAGAATCATGGGAAAAAAGCCATGAATTCTCTGTGCAGTATTTCCCTAGCGCTGGAATTCTGCCGTTCTCATTGATAGGTAGACTTGGTCTTGGCTGGCTGTTTTTGCTGATTTTCTGGGGGAGGGGCCTGTTTCTGTGGTTTTCAGATGTCTTTGCTGGAGGCGGAATTGCCCCACCTTTGCCAGGTCCGGGCTAAGTCATCTGCTCGGGTTTGCTCTCAGGAGCTTTTGTTCCCTGCAAGCTTTCTGTAGAGCTTTGGAGGATGAGAGTGAAAATGGCAGCCTCCCAATCTCTGCCCTGGAGGAACCGAGAGCTCGGGCCCCACTCCTCAGTGAATCCCCAGAGAAAAGTCAATCACTCCCGTCTCCCCGGTCTCTGGCCGCACTCCGTGGTCACCCGGCCTGTGACCAAGCATTTCTATCTCTCACTCACAACCCTGTTTGGAGTCTCCAAACCCAGCCGATTCCTACAGTGTGCTCCCGTGCCACTCCTCCCGGGGGAGGAAGGGGAGTCTCCCTGGATCTGCCGTTTGTTGGGTCCCTGCTGAAGGAGCAGTGGCCCGACTGTGCCACGGATCACGGATTATGGCAACCGTGAGCTGAGAGCCCGCGCCTCGGCTCCGTCTTTGTAGCCGGCTTCCCTGCTCCGATACCTGGGAGGGAGCTCTGCCGCACTCAGGCACCCCTGGTCTTTCTGTGACCCCGAGGGTCCTGAGACCACACTGTCCCAGCGAGGGTTCCACCCCCCGCTTAGCCACTGGAGCGATGTCCCTCAGTGGAGCGACTTCTAAAAGTCCGATTTTGTGCTCTGCTGCTCTGTCATTTGCTGGTAGTGGCTGACGGAGGCCCTCTCCCCTGCCGTCTGTCTTCCCCAATATTGCCTCGGATTCACTTCTCTGCACTCCTACCTTCCAGAAAGTGGTCGCTTTTTTGTTCAGAGTGTTACTGCTATTCTTTTCTTCGATCTCCTGTTGAGTTCATAGATGTTCAGAATGGTTTGATCCCTATCTAGCTGAATTACTGGGACCAGACAAAATTTAGTTCTCCTACTCCTCCGCCATCTTGCTCCTCCTCCCCCGGTCTTACGTATTTATTAACAAATTATTGTAATTGTTGTTTTTACTACTTTTGTCTTTAACCTTCATACTAGCCTTGTGAGTGATTAACCCACCCCCTTTACATTATTTTGAATTTTAGTATATATTTTCCTTTACCAGCAAGTTTGTACTTTCATGTTTTCCTGTTACTAATTGATACCTTTTATTTCAGCTTCAAGAAATCCCTTTAACATTTCTTGTAAAGCCAAGTCTAGTGATGAATTCCTTTAGCTTTTTGCTTATCTGGAAAGCTCTTTATCTCACCTATTCAGAACGACAGCTTTGCTGGGTAGAATATTCTTGGTTGGTAGTTTTTCCTTTCAGCACTTTGAATATGTCATGCTACTTTCTTTTGGCCTGCAAAGTTTCTGTTGAAAAATCTGATGATAAGTTTTGTGGGGTTTACTTGTATATTACAAGTTATTTTTCTTGTTGCTTTTAAAAATTTTCTTCTTGTAATTTAATCACAAAACATAATTTAATTATGTGTCTTGGTGTGGTTTCTTTGGGTTCAGCTTATTTGGAGGTTTCTTTGGTTTCAGCTTATTTGGAACTCTATTTCCTTTCCCAGGTTAGGGAAGTTTTTGGCCATAATTTCAAGTAAATTTTCTGTCCCCGTCTCCTTTTCCTTTTGGGGCTTCTATAATAGGAATACTGGTTTATTTGATATTGTCCCATAAGTGCCTTATGCTATTTTCACTTTCTTTAATTCCTTTTTGTTGTTGCTCCTCTGATTTGACAAATTCCACTGCCCTTTCTTTGAGTTCCTGATCCTTTCTTTGGCTTCATCAAGTTTTCTGTTAATCCTTTTATTAATATTTTTCAGTTCAGTTACTATATTCTTTAGCTCTGTGATTTCTGTTTGGTATTTTCTTATATTTTCTGTTTCTTTGTTGAAATTCTCACTTTGTTCTTGCATTGTTCTCCTGATCTCAGTGAGAGCATCTTTATGACTGTTATTTTGAACTCTTACTGGGAAAATCACTTATCTTCATTTCACTGAGGTCTTTTTCTGAGGCTTTATCTTGTTCTTTTGTTTGTAACATATTGTTCTGTGTCTTCATTTGCTTTGATTCTGTGTTCGTTTCTACGTGTTAGATAAAACAGACACCTCTCTTATTCCTGAAGGTGGGGCCTTAAGTAGGAAATAAAACCTGTGTTTCAGCCCTGCCCTATCTCTTGGTTGCGTCTCAAACCTTTGTGATTTTCCAAGTAGCCTACTTTATTTTTAGTAGTTCCCAGTAGTTGAGGGTATGCCAAAACTTGCCAGTGTCCCAATGGGAAGGATCTCAGTCAGTACTCAGATTCAGTTTGACTGGAAACCGCACCCTCAGGTGGGAGCTTTAAAAGTATGCAAGTGTACTTCTTTCATGGCCAGACTTTGAGATGGGCATCTGTCTGTACCCTCTGCACTAAGCGCCGGTGGGATAGCCAGTTAAGAAGCATTTCTTTGTTTGCTGTCATCCCACTGAATCTGTGAACCTAAGCCCCGCTGGCCTTCAGAACCAGGTTATCAAGGAGGTATCCTCTGAGTAGCAACCACAAAAGCTGGGATGCTGGGTGTTTGTATAAGCTCCTTTCTTAGAGACACCAGCAATCTGGGGTAAGGCAGAAGGAGGATGAAGGTGGTACCTGCTGGCCTCCACAGAATCTGGAGAGGATTTCAGGTAGCTCCTCGATATGTGTTTAATTAGAAGCTTGCTCCTCTGGCCACAGGTATGAAGATAAGCTAATATAGGCCTCTTTCACAGAAGAAATGGGTGTTTCAGTCAGCTGCCTCATCACTGCTCCTGCGGTGGGTAGCTGATTAAGAACTCTTTTTCTGTTTGTTACAGTCCTGTGGGACCTGCATACATAAAGCCCATTGGCTATCAGCGCTGATGATCAAGGCACATCCCATGGGTGGTAGCTGCAAAAACTGGGGTTCTAGATGTGTGCATCAGGAGTGTTTTCAGGCAGTACTCATGACCTGGAACAAAGCAGAAGGAGAGTGTGAGGATGGTGCCTGCTAGGCTCTACAGTCTTTGGAGAGTATTTCAGTAGGCCTCTAGATGTGTGTTAAATTAGAAGCCTGTCACATAAAATATATAGTATCAGAGCAAAATGCAGTAGAAAACTCATTCAGAAAACAGAGGAAGAGGAAATACAGAGTTACTGATCCATACCAATTATGAAATTCAGCTTGGCAGACATTGTGAAGGCTTGTTCTCCTGGGATATGGGAGAAATTCTTTGAATAACTTAGTTTCTTCTCTTTGGGATGATCTTTTCTGTCATTTATCCTCTATAAACAGATCCGACGTAGGTATTGGTTTATGTGCTTGCCTTGGGGTCTGTATAACTGTCTCAACTTGTGTGTTGTGGTGCAAGTTTGGGGCTTGAGTGTTTTAAGAGTTGAATATAATACTTTTTAAATGATTGAATAGTGAGGTTAGAGAAGAGGCTCTGCTCTGTAAAGTTATTCAGGACCCCAAGCTGATGGGGGCTTTGCTGTCTTTAAATGGTGGTTTCCACACTTACAGTGTATGTTCATATCAGATAGCAGAAGGGAAATAGAAGTAGAGGATTGTGGAGAAAATTTTTATGGGCCAGGAGTAGTAGTGGTGTACACCACTTTTGCCCATGACCAGAACTTAAATCACATGTCCAAACCAACTCCAAGGGAGGCTAGGAAATGTAGTCTAGCTGTATGCATAAGAGGAAAGGGAAATAGTTTCGTGAACAGCTAGACAGTTTGTCCTTTATCCTACCTGTCTTTATTAAAACACTCTGTCTTACCAAAAGAGAATATATATTTTTTCTAAGTCCATGATACATTTGCAAGTATAATTCATGCAGTAAGCCATAAAGAAAGATTGACATTTGTCTAAGGAGAGATTCATAGTCACAGTCTCTAATAATTCATTGAGTTGGAAATCAACAACAACAAAAGATGTTTAACCTCCTTACCTTCTTGGAAATTAAACACTCTGGGTTTTAAAAAGAAAAAGAGAAAAAAAATGGAAAATGAAAATAAATTAGAAATTTCATAGAAATTGATGAAAATGAAAACCAGTGGTTTGTTTTACAGAAAATTTATATTTTGTGGGCTTTATTTAAAAAACCTGAAAATATATAAACTGATATCTAACTTAAGATATCCAACTTAACAGAATATATCTCCAGATTGCTTTCATATTTCTGTCTCTTTGAACTTCATTTACTATGATTATCTCAAGCCTTTCCTTTCCATCAATTTTCTTAGCAGGTGTCTATTCTGTTGCCTGCTGCTTCAAAACATATTTAAATTTTGTTATTGTTCATTACGGGCAAATTTTTCTTTGTAGTTTTAAGATTTTTGTTGAATTAAAGTGGCTCAGTTGATTGGGCGACTGCCTTCGGCTCAGGTCATGATCCTGGAGTCCCAGGATCGAGTCCCTCATCGGGCTCCCTGCTCGGCGGGGAGTCTGCTTCTCCCTCTGACCTTCCCCCCTCTCATGTACTCTCTCTCTCTCATTCTCTCTCTCAAATAAATAAATAAAATCTTTAAAAAAGAATTTTTTTAAGACTTAAAAAAAAAGAGTAATATAAGGGAAAAGTACTGTAAAATGAATTGGTGAGATTAAAAGGGAGATATGAGTGGGTATTAACTGTTTATACTTGGGAATTGTTAAAGTTTTGTTTTTCTTCTAGATTCTGATGGAAGAAGGAGGAACCTGTTCTTTAAAAGACAGACCATCATCTGCTAAGAAAATCTGTCAGTGTAACTATAATGAATTTTATTCTTTAAAAAAAAAAAAGCAACCTAACATTTAAATGAAAATCAGTTAAATTTTGTGGAGTTTTTTCCCCAGATTTTTTGCCAACAAATATTTCATAATTTTAGAATATACTAGCAATGCAACTGACTCTTTAAAACTGCTCTATTATACATGAGTATATATACTGTATATATATAGTTTGGTGAATAATGAAACTGATACCCTGATACATTAAGAAATAATGTATACTCAGTAAGTTTGAAGCTCTTCTCAATTGCATTTCCTATCCTGCCCCCTAGAGGTAACTATTATCCTGAATTCATTTTTTGTGATATCCCACATAGTCTTTTCCATTGCTTGGTTTTGAACTTTCTGCAAATTGAGGCAAATTCTACATATTTTTCTGCAATTGTCTTTTTCTTTGTTCACCCAATAATATATTTTGGGGTTTGTTTACTTTGATAGTTGTGATTCTAGTACATTTCATTATTTGTTTACTACTTTAAGCCTTCTATTTTGTGAATGTAGTATCGCATCTTATTTTTACATCCTCTGGCAGTGATTATTTAGGTTGTTTGGATATTTTGATGTGATAAACAGTGCTGCTTTGGCAATTCTTGATACTTCTCCTGGCACACATGTGTAAAAATTTCCTCTATGTTATAGTTCTAGGAGCAGAATTGACTAGTTCATATGATATGAACATTTTTACCTCTTCCAGGTAACTGCAAAATTATTTTCCAAAGTAATGCCATTTTAAACTTTCACTAGCAAGAGGTAGGAGTCTTAGTTGTTACATAGTCTAACTCCAGTTCAGCTTTTTATCATTGTTGGCAATCTGAAATCTCACTGTAATTCTAATTTATATTTCCCTAATTATTAATTAGGTTGATTGAACATCCATGTTTCATCTGTGAAATGCCTTTCATATCTGTTGCCCTTGTTTCTTTTAAAAAGTTTGGCTTTTCTTATGGGATGTGTCTTTTATATATATGTATATATTCTATATATCTTTTATAGATCCTAGATATTAATTGCTTTAGGCCCAGGTGTAGCAAATACTTCATATTCGAGTGATCTTTTTATCTATGCTGCCTTTTTATGGACAAAAGTTTCTGACTGTTTTTACATAGTCTGTGATGGAATGATTCTTCAGGATATCTAGTAGGATACCTAAAAATTTTTATAGATTTTTTTTCTTTTAGAATTAGTTTAATATTTTGATATGTAACACATTGGTTTGGTTTCTGTCCCTATCTTTGCTGCTCTGTTTCCTTCTGCATCATATAAGTAGCTGTTTTTTGTTGGTTTTTGGTTTATCATTCCAGTTTTTTCCCTCCAAAATAAAGCCTAAAAATATATAAGTGCACATAGACATATGAATCTTAGTCCTTGCCTTTCTCACTGCAAATGTAATAATACTGGATATTTTATTTAATACAGGATATTTTATTAAATTAAACAGATTAATTTAACAAAACATCCTATAGTGTTCACCATGTTAGTGTTAGACATTCTGTCATCCTTTTTTTATGACATGTAGTAATCCATTATGTGGATGGATTATAGTTTATTCAGTCAGTGCCCTGTTGATGGACAATTGGGTTGTTTGCAGTATTCTGTTCTTACAAATAATGTTGCAGTGAACCACACTAAGCATATGTTGCTTACTTGTGGAAGTAGGGTAATTTCTAGGAGTGGGATTGCTGAGTCAAAGGGGAGATACGTTGGTTTTTTTAACTTCTTTTTTTAAGTAGGCTCTGTGCCCAGTGTAAAGCCCAACATGGGGCCTGAATGCACGGTCCTGAAATCAAGACCTGAGCTGAAATTAAGAGGCAGATGCCCAACAGACTGAGCCACCCAGGCACCCAATACACTGTGGCTTTTTGGTAGATATTGCCAAATTCCCTGTCATACCATTTGGCAATCCTACCAGAAATACTCCTTTTATGCCACAGACTCACCAACAGGAGTTGTGGTCTAGCTTAGAAATTTTTTTGTGAATCTTAAAATGATAGATAGACATTTGAGTTTTTACTTCTCTTTCTATGAGTGAAATTGAGAATCTTTTAAAAATGTTCACTGGCTGTATTTGCATTTCTTTTTCTGTGAGTTCTCCATTCATGTCTTTGAGGGTTTGGTTTTTTTTTTTTTAAAGATTTATTTGTTTATTTGAGGCAGGGAAGGGCAGAGAAAGAGAGAGAGAAAAACCCAAGCAGACTCTGCAGAGCACAGAGCTCAATGTGGGTCTCAATTCGCACGACCCTGAGATCACAACCCAAGCCAAAATCAAGAGTCAGACACTCAACCAACTGTGCCACCCAGGTGCCCCATGTCTTTGAGTTTTGGGCATTTTTTCTTATATAAGAAGAGCTCTTTATATATTAAAGAGATTTAGGCCTTTGTGATATATCACAAATATTTTCTCCTAGTTTATTATTGGATTTTATGTTGTTTTTACTTTGCTTATGGTGTTTCCTGCTTTTGCAAAAGGCTTAACATTTTTTTTATGTAGTTAATTTTATCAGTTTCTTCCTTTAATACTTTTGGATTTAATTAGAAAGACTCCACACTCCCAGATTATAAATGAATTCACTTACATTTTCTTCTAATATTAGCATGATTTTATATTTTTACATTTAGGTCTTTATAATCCATTTGGAGTTTATCGTGAATTAAGGTGTGAGATGTTTATCTCTTCAGGTTTTTAAAATGCATCTTTTCCCTAAGTACTTGTGATACCACCTTTTTTATATAGTAATTTTCTATATATACTGGGGTCTGTTTTGGGGCTTTCTATACTTTTAATTGCTCTTTCCTAATCTTCATGTTCCAATACCATACTATTTTAATTATGATGACTTTATAGTATGTTTAATTTCTAGAAGAGTTACACCTCCCTTTAAGCTTTTAAAAAAAAAAGTTTGGCTATTTTTTAAAATTATTTTTTCATATAAACTTTAAAATCAACTTGTTTAACTCCAGAGAAATGTTTTAATTTTTATTAGGAAAATGTTAAATGTATATATTAACGAAGTGTGAATTGTCAACCTAATGATGTTAGCCTATCTGAGAAAAGGGGATGTTCTTTAGTTGATTCAGTCTAATTTTGTATTTTTAATATTTGTTTAAATGACGTTTAGGCACTTTAAAATTTTTATTTATTCAATTTTTTTTTAAAGATTTTTATTTATTATTTGACACAGAGAGAGAGACAGTGAGAGAGGGAACACAAGCAGGGGGAGTGTGAGAGGGAGAAGCAGGCTTCCTGCGGAGCAGGGAGCCCGATGCGGGGCCTGACCCCAGGACCCCGGGATCATGACTTGAGCTGAAGGCAGACACCCAACGGTTGAGCCACCCAGGCGCCCCACTTTAAAGTTTTTAAGTAGATTACTGCATGTGTCTTGTTAGATTTATCTGTAGGTACTTTTGTTGTTTTGTTGCTGCTTTAGTGTGGATATGTATCTCATGTTTTTATATTAAGTAAGATTCTGGATTTTGAGCTTAGGCACATGTCTGTTGATTATTGAGAATTTTTTAAGGAAATGATTTTGGGGGAAATAAGTAATTTGGGGAAGAGTAATTCTTGGCATCTCTAAAAATGATTATTAATTTTTCTTCATGGATTTTTTTTATTGTGGCAAAAAAACCACATAAAATAAAATTCACCTTCCCAGCAATTTTCACACCTCTGCTCCCCTTCCCCCACAACCCCTGCAACCACCATTTAACTTTCTGTTCCTATGAGTTTGAATATTTTAGATATATAAGTGGAATTATGCAATATTTGTTTTTTTGTGACTGGCTTATTTCACTTAGCGTAATATCCTCAAGGTTCATTCATGTAATAGTATATGACAGGATTTCCTTCTCTTTTAGTGCTGAATAATATTCCATTGTATGTATATACCACATTTTCTGTATCCATTTGTATGGAGACATCTAGGTTGCTTCCACCTTTTGGCTATTATGAATAATAACTGTAATGAACATGAGTGTACAAATATCTCTTCAGGGTCCTGTTTTCAATTCTTTTGGATATATACCCAGAAATGGGATTGCTGGATCATATGTTACCTCTGGTTTTAACTTTCTGAGGAACGTTTATACTGTTTTCCATAGCAGCTACATCATTTTATGTTCCCACTTACAGTGCACAAGGGTTTCAATTTCTCTACATCCTTGCCAACACTTAACTATTTTCTGGGTTTTTAAATTTTTATAGGTTGGCCATTCTAATGGGTGTGAGGTGTGATACCTCATGGTGGTATGGATCTTTTAAAATGGTGAATTTTACTAATGGATTTTGTGATATGGACCATTCTAGCATTTTTATAATACATCCTACCAATTTATGATGTATTATAATTTTGTTTGCTATTCTATTTTACTATATCCTATTTTAATTTAAAATTTGAAATTTTAGTGTTTATATAAGATTTTTACATTGATAATGTGAGATTTGTCTTTAGAGTATGTGTGTAGGTATGTGTATTTGCAGTCTTTCTGATGTTTTGGTATTAATGTTATATACCAGATTCACAAAGAATTTTGAAGCTGTATACTTGTCAAAATTGAGGCTATTTGAAAGATTTCTTGAAATTTGCATCCTTTGCCTCTTCATCCCAATTTCACTGCTTTATTGCAGATCCTCATCACTTCATGACGAGTTTATTGAGTTAATTCTCTAACTGACCTGCTTTTATCCAGTCTCACCCTTCTTTAATCTATCCTCAGTTAGATGCCTTGGTAAATAATCTAAAATGCAAATCCCTTTAATATTAGAGTGTATCCTTATACTGTCTTTTTCTTTTTCTCCGTATTGCTATTTTTCATCTTGTCTCTCTGAACAACGTTTATTCATCTTTAAAAACCTATTATTTATACTGTGCCTTTTTCTTCTTTTTTTTTTTAAGATTTTTTTCATTTATTTATGTATTAGAGCATGAGTGGAGGGAGGAGCAGAGGGAGAGGGACAAGCAGACTCCATGTTGAGCACAGAGCCCAGTGTGGGGCTCGATCCCACGACCCTGAGATCAGGACCTGAGCTGAAATCAAGAGTTGGATGCCTAACCAACTGAGCCACCCAGACACCCCTATGCTGTGCTTTTTTTGTAGCTCTTCCCAACTCTCTTTGAGCTTACCACACTTAGTTCTCTATTACTTTTGTACCTTCTGTGACTACTGTTGTTGCAACTAATTTTGTGACTTTTTTTTTAAACAGTATTAGTATGTCTTTCTCCATTAAAAAATTACACTTTGACCACTGTAGGCATGTCATGTTTCCCTACTATTACAGTGCCTTACATAAAGTAATTACTCAGTAAGTGTTGAACTGAATTGACATTTTGATCTGCATGTCTTTTCTTACATTGCTATAGGTATGATATTCTTTCAACAGACATTTGTCTTCTATTCTAATGACTCTGGGTTTACTATACCTATGAAGTGAATGAACCTTACTAGGGGGAATGCTCTTAGATTATGGTGTTAGTAAAATCCTACCATTTACTTTTCTGTACTCTGGTTTCTACTATCAGGGAGAACCCGATCTACAGGTATATTAGTTTCCTTCTAGAATGATGAACTAAGGGTATCTGAGTTCAGCTAAGTTCTCCCTATCTCTCAGCTGACTGATGGTTAGATTCTGTTTCAGAGAACTTTAGTCCTGATCTGAGGCATGTATAGATAGGACTTACAGTTTTTTGCATACAGGAGGCCATGTGATTTGATATGAGTTGCCGCTCCACATTCCATTACCTTGCACTTTTCTTGATAGCAAACCCATTTTCACAAACAAGGAGAGGAGTGGTTGAAGCTACTGTCAATCTGTAGTATTTTTGCATTGTAGGGAGTCATAACCTGCTTCTCAGGTACATCTTTAAACTTTACGTGCAGTCATTTAAGAGAACACATTAAGCAGATAATGGAAGAATATCATACTGGATGCTTCGAATTGATTTTTTTCATACAATTTTGATTGTACAGTGAATCTTCATTTACTGGATTAGCAAATATCTGGTCCCTTGGGACTTAATAAACTTGGCTTATTCTTCCTTCTTGCAGTTGACACTTTATTTGTTCATAAAAAATGGTTCATCTATTGGGAAAAAAATCCAGTTTTTATTCTTTCTTCCCTTATGTTATATACTCTTATTTTACTTATAGATACAAATGTTTTGAATGTAGAATAAACCCATAATACCTGTCAGAAATGCAAGCTGCCAAGTATGCAAGATTTTAACTAGTTTTTGAACACTTTAAAGTGCCCTATAGAGGGGCGCCTGGGAGGCTCAGTTGTTAAGTGTCTGCCTTCTCAGGTCATGATCCCAGGGTCCTGGGATTGAGCCCCGCATCGGGCTCCCTGCTCAGTGGAAGGTCTGCTTCTCCTTTTTCAACTCCCCCTGCTTGTGTTCCCTCTCTCACTGTGTCTCTCTGTCAAATAAATAAATAAAATCTTTAAAAAAATAATAAAGTGCTCTGTAGAATGTCAGCTAAATTTATTTTACCAGCAAATATATTCTGCCTGTGTATATATTTTATAGAGCATTAACAAATACAATTCTTCATCAATTAAACCTTTATTTTCAGATCTTGATTCTTCACAGAGTAGTCAGTCTACCAGTTACTCTCCAAGGCCAACAGATAGTTGCTTCAGTTCTAGTTCAGAGATGGTAAGTTACTTTTCTCTTTGCTTATTAATTTATGCTCTGCTAATTTGGAATTACTTTATTTGTCATAGTTTACACTCTGAAAAAAGTTGTCAAGTGGTGAAAATAAATGTAAAGAAAATATTTAAAAATATTTAAAATGTAAGAAACCTATAAACAGAAATGTAAAATTGAAGTGTAAATGAGTATCATTTACATTTATAAAAACGATGTGTTCATTGTTATTTACAAAAGCCAGCCTTATTGAGATATGTGTGTGTATATGATAAAGTTGTATTTCTTTTAAAATGCTTTTTAAAAGTTCCTACTTACAATAATTGAAAACCTAAAATAACTAAGAATATATAGAAAAAGTCTGAAGACTTATATGAATAAAACTATAAAATGTTGAGTAATGTAATCTGAATAATTGGAATGACATTTATGTCCTGAGTAGGAGTGCTGCATTTCTCATAAATCACATGTTTCTTTTTTCTTTCTTTTTTAAAAAATTTTATTTTATTATGTTATGTTAGTCACCAACAATACATCATTAGTTTTTGATGTAGTGTTCCACGATTCACTGTTTTCGTATAATACCCAGTGCTCCATGCAGCACATGCCCTCCTTAATACCCATCACTGGGCTAACCCATCCCCCCAACCCCCTCCCCTCTAAAACTCTCAGTTTGTTTCTCAGAGTCCATAGTCTCTCATGGTTCATCTCTCCCTCCTATTCCCCCCCTTCATTTTTCCCTTCCTTCTCCTTATGTCCTCCATGCTATTCTTTATTCACTTATTCGCAAATAAGTGAAACCATATGATAATTGACTTTCTCTGCTTGACTTATTTCACTTAGCATAATCTCAGTTCCATCCATGTTGATGTGAAAGTTAGGTATTCATCCTTTCTGATGGCTGAGTAATATTCCATTGTATATATGGACCACATCTTCCTTATCCATTCATCTGTTGAAGGGCATCTCAGCTCTTTCCACAGTTTGGCTATTTCGGACATTGCTGCTATGAACATTGGGGTGCATATGGCCCTTCTTTTCACAACATCTGTGTCTTTGGGGTAAATACCCAGTAGTGCAATTGCTGGGTCATAGGGTAGCTCTATTTTTAATTTTTTGAGGCACCTCCACACTGTTTTCCAAAGTGGCTGTACCAACTTGCGTTCCCACCAACAGTGTAAAAGGGTTCCCCTTTCTTCACAACCTCTGCAACATTTGTTGTTTCTTGCCTTGTTAATTTTTGCCATTTTAACTGTGTAAGGTGGTATCTCATTGTGCTTTTGATTTAAATTTCCCTGATGGCTAATAATGATGAACATTTTTTCATGTGTCTGTTAGCCATTTGTATGTCTTCTTTGGAGAGGTGTCTGTTCATGTCTTCTGCCCATTTTTTGACTGGATTATTTGTTTTTTGGGTGTTGAGTTTGAGAATTTCTTTATAGACCTTGGATACCAGCCCTTTATCTGTAGTGTCATTTGCAGATATCTTTTCCCATTCTGTGGGTTGCCTTTTTGTTTTATTGACTGTTTTCTTTGCTGTGCAGAAGCTTTTTATCTTGATGAAGTCCCAGAAGTTCATTTTTGCCTTTGTTTCACTAACCTTTGGAGATGTATCTTGAAAGAAGTTGCTGTGGCCAACGTCGAAGAGGTTACTGCCTATGTTCTCCTCTAGGATTTTGATGGATTCCTGTCTCACACTGAGGTCTTTCATCCATTTTGAGTTTATCTTTGTGTATCGTGTTAGAGAATGGTCGAGTTTCATTCTTCTGTATATAGCTGTCCAATTTTCCCAGCACCATTTATCGAAGAAACTTTCTTTTTTCCATTGCATGTTTTTTCCTGCTTTGTCGAAGATTATTTGACCATAGAGTTGAGGGTCCATATCTGGGGTCTCTGTTCTGTTCCATTGGTCTGTATGTCTGTTTTTGTGCCAGTACCATGCCGTCTTGGTGATCACTGCTTGAAGGGTGATCAAGCTTGAAATCAGGCAACGTGATGTCCCCAGCTTTGTTTTTATTTTTCAACATTTCCTTGGCGATTTGGGGTCTTTTCTGATGCCATACAAATTTTAGGATTGTTTGTTCCAACACTTTGAAAAATGTCATTGAATTTTGATCAGGATGGCATTGAAGGTATAGATTGCTCTGGGTAGCATAGACATTTTAACAATGTTTATTCTCCCGATCCATGAGCATGGGATATTTTTCCATCTTTTTGTGTCTTCTTCAGTTTCTTTCATAAGTGTTCTGTAGTTCCTAGAGTATGGCTCCTTTACGTCTTTGGTTAGGTTTATTCCGAGGTATCTTACGGTTTTTGATGCTATTGTAAATGGAATCGTTTCTCTAATTTCCCTTTCTACAGTTGCATTGTTGTATAAGAAAGCAACTGATTTCTGTGCATTGATTTTGTATCCTGCTACATTACTGAATTGCTGTATGAGTTCTAGTAATTTGGGGTTGGAGTTTTTTGGATTTTTCACATAAAGTATCATGTCATCTGTGGAGAGAGTTTGACTTCTTCTTTGCCAATTTGAATACCTTTTTGAATTTCTTTTTGTTGTCTGATTGCTGTTGCTAGGACTTCTAGTACTATGTTGAACGATAGTGGTGAGAGTGGGCATCCTTGTCGTGTTCCTGATCTTAAGGGAAAGGCTCTTAGATTTTCCCCATTGAGGGTGATATTCGCTGTGGGTTTTTCATAGATGGATTTTATGAACTTGAGGAATGTTCCCTCTATCCCTATACTCTGAAGAGTTTTAATCAGGAAAGGATGTTGTATTTTGTCAAATGCTTTTTTCTGCATCGAAAGGACCACATGGTTCTTCTCTCTCCTCTAATTAATGTATTCTATCACACTGATTGATTTGTGAATGTTGAACCACCCTTGCATCCCGGGGATAAATCCCACTTGGTCGTGGTGGATGATCCTTTTAATGTATTGTTGGATTAGCTAGGATTTTGTTGAGGATTTTGGAATCCATATTCATCAGGGATATTGGTCTGAAATTCTCCTTTTTGATGGGGTCTTTGCCTGGTTTGGGGATTAAGGTAACGCTGGCCTCATAGAATGAGTCTGGAAGCTTTCCTTCTGTTTTATTTTTTGAAACAGCTTCAGGAGAATAGGTATTATTTCTTCTTTGAATGTTTGGCAGAATTCTCCAGGGAATCCATCAGGCCCTGGACTCTTGTTTATTGGGAGGTTTTTCATCACTGCTTCAATCTCATTCCTGGTTGTTGGCTTATTCAGGTTGTCAATTTCTTCCTGTTTCAGTCTTGGGAGTTTATACATTTTCAGGAAGGCATTCATTTCTTCCAGGTTGCTCAATTTATTGGCATATAGTTGTTGATAATAATTTCTAATAATTGTTTCTATTTCATTGGTGTTAGTCGTGCTCTTTCCCCTTTCATTGATAATTTTATTAAATTGGGTCCTTTCTCTTTTCTTTTGGCTAAGTCTGGCCAGTTTATCAATCTTATTAATTCTTCCAAAGAACCAGCTTCTAGTTTCATTGATCTGATCTACTTTGTTTCTGTTTTCTAATTCATTGATCTCTGCTCTAAATTATTTCTCTCCTAATGTGTGGCTTAGGCATCGTTTGTTGCTTTTCCTCTAGTTCTTTAAGGTGTAAAGTTAGTTGTTGAATTCAGAATTTTTCTATTTTTTTTGAGTGAGGCTTGGATGGCTATGTATTTCCCCCTTTAGGACCACCTTTGCAGTATCCCATAGGTTTTGGACCGATGCATTTTCATTGTCATTGGTTTCCATGACTTGTTTAAGTTCTTCTTTTATTTCCTGGTTGACCCCAAAATTCTTGAGCAGAGTGGTCTTTAGCTTCCAAGTGTTTGAATTTCTTCCAAGTTTTTTCTTGTGATTGAGTTCCAGTTTTAAAGCATTATGGTCTGAGAATATTCAGGGAATAATCTGTCTTTTGGTATCAGTTGAGACCTGATTTGTGACCCAGTATGTGGTCTGTTCTGGAGAAAGTTCTATGTGTGCTTGAGAAGAATGAGTATTCTGTTGTTTTAGGGTGGAATGTTCTGTATATACCTATGAGGTCCATCTGGTCTAGTGTGTCATTCAAAGCTCTCGTTTCTTTGTTGATTTTCTGCTTAGATGCTCTGTCTATTGCTGAGAGTGGAGTATTGAGGTCTCCTACAATTATTATCATTATGACTCTTTATTTTGGGTAACAGTTGGCTTATGTAGTTGGCTGCTCCCATATTGGGGGTGTAGATATTTAGAACTGTTAGATATTCTTGTTGGATAGACCCTTTAAGAATGATACAGTGTCCTTCTGTGCCTCTAACTATAGTCTTTAGCTTAACATCTAATTTGTCTGATACAAGAATTGCTACCCCAGCTTTCTTTTGAGGTCCGTTGGCATGGAAGATGGATCTCCATCCCTTCATTTTCAGTCTGGATGTATCTTTAGGTTCAGAATCAGTCTCTTGTAGACAGCATATGAACGGGTCCTGTCTTTTTATCCATTCTGCAACCCTGTGCTGTTTATGGGAACATTTAGGCCATTCATGTTGAGAGTGATTATTGAAAGATAGGAATTTATTGTCATCATTTTGCCTGTGAGGACCTTGTTTTTATAGATTGTCCTTGTAAATTTCTGTTCTAGATCACTCTTGGGGTCTTTCTCCTTTTATAGAACCCCCCCTTAATATTTCTTGCATGGCCGGCTTAGTGGTCACATATTCTTTCAGTTTCTGCCAGTCCTGGATCTCTCCAAGTTTCTGCATCTCTCCATCCATTCTAAATGACAGCCTTGCTGGATAAAGTATTCTTGGCTGCATGTTCTTCTCGTTTAGAACCCTGAATATGCCTTGCCAGCCCTTTTTGGCTTGCCAGGTCTCTGTGGATAGGTCTGACATTATCTGATGTTCCTCCCTCTGTACGTAAGGATTCTCCTCCCCGTAACTGCCCTTAAAATGGTTTCCTTGGTTCTAAGATATGCAAGGTTTACTATTACATGCTGGGATGTTGGCCTGTTTTCCTTGATCTTGGGATGGGTCTGCTCTGCCTCTAGGACATGAATATTTGTTTCATTCCCCAGATTAGGGAAGTTCTCAGCTACAATTTGCTCAAATATATCTTCTAGTCCTCTCTCTCTCCAACCCCTCAGGGATTCCAATAATTCTGACATTGGAATGTTTCATGGTGTCACTTATTTCTCTGATTCTATTTTCATGGATTTTGAGTTGTTTTTCCTTGGCCTCCTGTTTTTCCTTCTTTTCTATTAATTGGTCTTCTAGATCACTAATTCATTCTCTGCCTCACTTACCCTAGCTGTTAGATTTTCTAGATTAGATTGGATCTCATTGATAGCATTTTTAAGTTCTGCCATTTCAGCTTTCATTTCTGCCCTTAGAGACTCTATGTTGCCATTAATCAATTTCTCCATTCTAGGTATTGTCTTCACAATTGCTACGCTGAATTTCATCTCTGACATCTTGGTTTTATCTGTATCCATTTGTAAATCTGTGGCATAAGTCATAGTCTCTGAGTCTTTCCTATTTTGGGGGTTCCTCCTCCTAGTCATTCTGTTGAGAGGTAGTTGAGGGAATGTACAGAGTCCAAATTATTGACCGCAACCCAAGCAAGATGCACCTGTTTTATAGGGACCTTAAGGTTGCCGGCCTCTTGTTTTCCCAGCCTGTCTTCTGGGGGAGGGGCCTGCCGCGCTGTTGTTCAGGGAACCCTGTTTGGGCAGAGTTGCCCTGCCCCCTGTGGTGGGGGCTGGACTCAGTGAAAACCAGCGTTTTGGGGCTCTTCTCTGGTGGCTTTCCCTGGCGGCTTTCCGCGTCTCTTCTGAGAGAGCAGAAGAGATCGTTTCCAGCCCTCTGCCTCAGAACAGAGAGATCTCAGTCTGTTCTTCAGTGAGCTCTCCAGGCCACACACTTTCCGTTTCTGTCTGTGCTGCTATAAACTGCAGCGTCCTGGGTTGTGTGCCCCTCAGCAGTGCTCCCAGTCCTCGCCTCCAGGTCGGGGCATGTCTCTGCCCTTTGTGCTTCTAAAACCAGTTCACACACGTGGCCCCGCCGCTCCAGGTTTCAGTCTGGGGGGCTGCCCTAAAGTCCTTTCACCATCGCTACCAGCCTGTGAGTCTGTGCCCAGTCCCAGTGCTGGAGGTTACCACTCGCCGGTGGTGTAGGATCCTGACGGCTCGGCTCCCTCCCCCTTCCATTTATCCTCTGATATCTGCCTGCAGAATCACGGCTCTCCGCTTCATACCTCGAAACCAACTGCCTGCAATATTCTGTTTGTAGAGATCCAGATCTATCTTGTTACATCTCAGGCTGATGGTGTTATGGGTGATCAGAGTGGTCTGGTAGATATCCAGGTCAATTCCAGGGACTGGTTGGAATAGGGTTCCCTACTCCTCCACCATCTTTTCCAGGTTCTAAATCACATGTTTCAATGATATTCTCCTTCATTGAATTCTCCTTCATTAAATCTTCCAATTTTTTTTGGTGGTAGTTGTTGTTCTGGCTCACCATCCAAATTACTCTTGCTAAGGAAGAACACCAGTGACCTCTGTGTTGCCAAATTCATTGGTCACTTTTCAGTTTTTATTTTATGAGAACTAATAATACTGGTAGAAGTGATTTATTTTCTTTTTTTGAAACATTTTCTTCTTTTTGCTTTTGTGATAGCACAGTATCTTGGTTTCCTTCATACCTCTTTGAATTCTACTTTATGCCTTTGCTGACTCTCTTCCATCTGCCTATATAAATGTTGTAATGTTTAGGGTTTGCTACAGGACTCTTTTCTTCTCTTAACTTACACTCTCAACTCTACGTTTCTGTATCCCATTGACATATGCTGTCTGACTCATGACAGTTTTCAACATTATCACTTTAGCCCAGATCCTTATTTAGATGTCCAATTTCCTGCTTGATATATCTTCTTGGATATTTCACAAAAATCTCCTTCACACATTAAACTGAACACTCCTGGTCTTTGCCCCAAATCAGTTTTTCTGATAATTCCTATATTAGTAGTACCTTTTTTATCCACTCAATTGCTCATGCCAAAAATTTAGTTACCTTTGTCATTTCTTTCTGTCTTATCAGTTTTCTTAACCACATTTCATTCCATCACTTCATCCAATCAGTTCTATATCCAAAATAAATTGCATATTAATCTACTTTTCTCAACTTTTGCTGTTAGCACACTAAAGTATCAGTAAGTATATTGTTCTTGCACTGTTGTGGTTGTCTCCTGGGAGATCTCTCTACTTCCACTCTTGCCCCACTTTTTTTGTTAGCAGTCAACATGATCTTTTGAAAACCTAAATTGAATCATGTTATTTCTGTGTTCATCTATTCAGTGGATTTATAGAATCTAAACGACTTAGTGGTTACAGGCCATATGTAATCCGGTCTCTGGCTACATCTTGAACTTCCAGTATTCTCCCTTTTACACCACATTCCACATGTATTAACTTTTCACTTTCCTTAGCTTGTCAGTCTCTTCTGTTTCAGGGCCTTTATATATCCTGTTTCCTTTACCTTACTGTTACTCATCCTTTATGTCTCAGTTCAAATATGTGACTTCTTCTAAAAGCCCCTTCTTGGCTCCTCAATCTAAATTAGGTCCCTTACGGGGCGCCTGGTGGCTCAGTTGGTTAAGTGTTTGCCTCTTCTCCCTCTACCCCTCCCCCTGCTGCTCTCTCTCTCTCTCTCAAATAAAATAAAAATTAATAATAAATTAGGTCCCTTAGTTATGCTTTCAGAGTGCTTCATACTTGTTCTTTCTAATGCTTTTCTCAATTTGTAATTATATCTACATGTATATGGTTATTCAGTTAATATCCTTTCCACCCATGAGAATGTGTGCTTTACTTTTTTTGAAGATTTTATTTATTTATTTGACACAGAGAGAGAGAGAGAGCCAGAGAGACAAGTGGGGGAAACAGCAGAGGGAGAGGGAGAAGCAGACTCCCCACTGAGCAAGGAGCCTGATGCGGGGCTCGATCCCAGGACCCTGAGATCATGAGCTGAGCTGAAGGCAGCCGCTTAACTGACTGAGCCACCCAGGCGCCCCGAGAATGTGTGCTTTAATAGGGCAGCATCCATGTCTGCTTCACTCACATTACAGATGCTAAAGGAAAATTTTCTTGAATAAATGTATCGAGCTTGTTTTCTTTAATGTGTGCCCAGCCAGTCTCAATGCTATTTCTTGGGCTTACTTTTTCTCTTTCAGTGCCAGTCCACTGAGACCTACACCTCATTTCAGGGTTTTTATGTTAACTCTGCCTTTTTTTTTTTTTTTTTTAAAGCTGGAATAATCAGTACTTTAAATAGAATTTTTGTTAAAAAAATATTTTGGTTAGTTCAGTAATTAAAAGATAAATTTTTCATGAATTTGAAACATTCAAGCTAGCAAACTGAAATCTACACCTATTAAAAGTTTTTCAATTTGCCTTTTTAGATAACAGTTAAGATATTTATTCTTTTTTTTAAATCTTTTTCTTTTTCTTTTTTTAAAGTAGGCCCAATGCAGAGGCTTGAACTCACAACCCTGAGATCAAGACCTGAGCTGAGATCAAGAGCTAGATGCTTAACAGACTAGGCTACTGCTCTGAGATATTTATTCTTATTTAACTTTTCTTTTGTCTGTTTGATTTCCTGTTAGCTGATACTCTCCTTAAATTATACCTTTCATGAGACTGGGTCTGTAAAAGATACAATATAGATATTTTTTGACTTAATAAGTCAATTAGTGAATAATTTATTAATACTTTTGTGAAAGGGTAGGGGGATGATGTAGCCTTTTATTATGGGGATTGATAAGAGATAAAATTCCTCTTATCTTTTTTAGCTCTTTTGCATTTTCAAGATTTTTTTTTTTTTTATTTGACAGCATGCGAGAGCGTGCGAGAGGGCATAAGCTGGGGAGCTGCTGAGGGAGAGGGAAAGGAGGCTCTCCACTGAGCAGAGAGCTCTACGTGGGGCTCCATCCCAGGACCCTGGGATCATGACCTGAGCCGAACGAAGGCAGACTCTTAACAGACTGTGCCCTCCAGGGGCCCCCTCTTTAGCATTTTTAATACAAGATTTATTATTATTGTTCTTGCTATTTTAAAAGTCCACAAACCTCCTGGAAGTGGTAGATAATTACTGTTTTTTAAAATTTTAATTCCAGTGTCATTAACAGTGTTATATTATTTTCAGGTGTACAGTATAGTGATTCACCAATTCTATACATTACTCAGTGCTCATCATGATAATTGTACTCTTAAACCCCTTCATGTATTTCACCCATTCCCCCAAACCACCTCCCCTATAGTTAAGAGTCTGTTTTTTGGTTTGTGTCTTCTTTTTCTTTGTTCATTTGTTTTGTTTCTTAAATTCTCCCTTGAGTGAAATCATATGGTATTTGTCTTTTTCTGATTTATTTATTTCACTTAGCATTATAGTCATTATAGGTCCATCCATGTTGTAAATGGCAAGGTTTAATTCTTTTTTATGGCTAATATTCCATTATATATATATGTGTATGTGTATATATATATATGTATATAAATGTATGTATAGATGTCATATCTTTATCCATTCATCTGTCCATGGACACTTGGACTGCTTCCATAATTTGGCTATTGTAAATAATGCTGCAGTAAACATAGGGGTGCACATAACTTTTTGAATTAGTGTTTTTGTATTCTTTGGTTAAATGCCCAGTAGTTGAACTACTGGGTCATATGGTAGTTCTATTTTTAATTTTTTTGAGGAATCTCCAGAGGCAGTAGATTACTGTTTGAAGCCTGCTGGTATACCAGTTTTGAATTGCAACCTGCCAAGTATCTTCTGTATTTTGAAATTTTCTGTAGTATGAATTTTGAGAATTCTGTGAAGTGATTGAATGATTTTTGTAAATTTAAGCAAAAATTTACAGCAAAAGTACTAAATTTCTTTTAGCCATCTGAAGATGAAGATCAAATATTGCAGCAAATTGAAGAATCAAATAGGAGGTCCATCAGAATCAAAGAAACAAGTAATAATTTTTATCTAGAAATGATGCCAAAACTTCCATGTGGTAGGATTATTAAGAACAATGCCAAAATTCATAAACAAAATGAGAATCGTCACCAGTTCTCAATGAAAAATAAGACAGATCAGATTCCACAGTCTCGGTGTAATTCAGCACACATATTACAAAACAAAACCAGTAATAACTGCATTCTGCAGGTTGCAAGATGTGATGCATGGGTACAAACAGGCTGTGAACCTGCAATGGAAGAAAAATTAGATGCTGCTGTACAGTGTGATATAATTTCAAAATGTCAGTGTAGAAGTAATGTGTCTTCTCTTTGTAATGTTGAAAGGTGCAGTGAAGATATTAAGGCAGATACCACTGGAGGGCAGGAAATCCTTAAGAACAACTAATTCTAAAAATCTCAGCCTAAGATTTAGCATTTCATTTAATGTTCAGAATTTCATTAACGTACTAAGGAAAGAGAATATATAGCTAAGCACAAGGTGAAAGTATTTACAGGATATATTTATGGCTTGTTTTAAGACATTTAAATATTAATGTATACAGTTCATTTTACATAGTTTTTTAACATATACATAGATATATGTTCAAGATATACATAGTATGTCTTCAAGTTTTTAGAAAATAATATATATGTAAATTTACTGTTTATAATTCTCATGGTGATTATTATATTATGATATGCTGCTATTTATGGATAAAAGTATGCTTAATTGCTTCCTTCCATGTTTTCTTTATTTTAAAATTTAGTGCAGCTGCATCTGTTAACCAAAAATGTTCTCTTCCAAGATTTTAAAACAGAAAATAATGCTAAATAATATTATATATGTTTTATAATCTTATAAGAATTTTGTTAGCTACTTATATTATGAATTTGCGTGTCATCTTGGTGCAGGGGCCATGCTAATCTGTATTGTTCCAATTTTAATATGCTGCCAAAGTGAGCATTATTAGTCACTTATATTAAATATTATACCCTCATTAAAAAATTCTGGCATTAATTTTTAGATAAAATATATTTTCTATTTTGTTTGGATAATATTTTTTGTTGGAGCTTGTTTTAATTCAAAGGAAAATGTTTTTCTCTTCACAAGATAAAAAATATTTCAGTGCCTTTATAAAAGAAATGTCCAACATTGGAAAAAATGATTTATATTCACTAATTTTAATCTTGCTAAGATTCTTTTCAAAAATATTAGAATTTCTCATTTATAAAATATAGGTTTTGTTTCCAACATTTTATTTTTTGTTTCAAGATTTTAAATGTTCATACTCTGGAATTGACCATTTGTATGGATATATTACAATTGCACAGCAGAGGACATTCTGAATGATACATAATTGAACCAAAAATATAGTTGGTAGGAGTTTCTGTGCCTTTAAAGAAAAGGGTGATGAGATATTGAATTGTTACATGCACACATATCATTCAAAAGTTTGTGCTGCAGGGGTGATCTAAAGCATAATGATTTAGAAACACCAACAGCTGATGTTTAAACAGTAGCAATCTTAAGTTTTTAGCTAGTTTTAGGAAGTTATTTTTGCAGACTCAGAAAGCTCAAGGAGCTCCTAAGTAATTTTCTTAAAGTATAGTAATCATCTCATGAAAGGGGAATATAATTATCTGATGTACATTGATAGTTTTTCAAAAGGCTCGATTTTCATTGTGATATTAAACAAAAAGTATTCCATCATGGATTGATTATCCTGAGCATTATTTTGCAAAATATGACATAGCAATGAAGATCAGTATATAGAAAAAAAAGACCCTTTACTGGTGATACTAGAATAACTAGATACTGGTGATACTAGAATACTAGAATAGATTGAGCTGTGATTCTTAGGTTGGTTTCAAATATCAAATAAATGGATTTTTTTCCAAATACTAATCAAAGTCTACTAGTACTGAAAGCACATTCATTACAAAAATCTACATGTAGTTATATTTTTATCAATATCATAATTGTGGCAGTTAAGCTCAGTAAGGTAAAAAGAATGTCAGGGGTTTTTAGTGCAGTGACCACACAGAATAAAGTGCAGTGCAGTAAAGAATATAAACTTGCCCAAAAAGAGATCTGCCCTTTGCCCTTGGCTTTTGGGATATAATCTCTAAACCCTTGGAGTGTCATTCATGCATGATACAAATGTCTTTGTTAGCCTCGGGATTTGGGTCCAAGCTAGATAGTAACAGTGTGATTTAGAATGAGACTTGTGGTCAAGCTCTATCAGCTCAACGTCGTCTTTTTTTTTTTTTTTTAAGATTTTATTTATTTATTTGACAGAGAGACAGCGAGAGAGGGAACACAAGCAGGGGGTGTGGGAGAGCGAGAAGCAGGGAGTCAATGTGGGACTCGATCCCAGGACCCTTAGATCATGACCTGAGCCGAAGGCAGATGCTTAACAACTGAGCCACCCAGGCGCCTTCAGCTCAAGTTCTTAAGGCTTTTAGAAACTGAGGTCAGCATGTGGGCAGTCAGCCATGCCACTGTGATGGAGGCCCAGTAAAGACTCTGGACACTAAGGTTTGGGTGAGCTTCCCTGGTTGGCAGTATTCTGTGTGTTGTCACACATTAATACCAGGAAAGTCCTTGACTCCATAGGAGAGGACTACTGGAAGGGACTACTGGAAGCTCTGTATTTATTACTTCCCTAGAGTGTGTCTTGTATGTTTCTTCCCTAGGCTGATTTTAATCTGTATTCTTTTCCTTTAATAAAGTGTAACTGTGAATATAACAGCTTTCAATGAGTTCTGAGTCCTTATAAAGCAAATTATTAAATTTGAGGGTGCTCTTGAAACCCCTGAAATAAGGGTAGTTTTGTAGACTGTTCCTAACTTTGCAGTTGCTAACTCTTTAGGTGCTTTAAGAGGATAAAAATACTGGAAAGGAAAGTGAGTATAGATTTACAAAATCAAAAAGACGTCTCTTATCTCTAGTTGAATAGATTGTAGCATACTTCTCAAAACACAATATGGTTTAGGTTTTTCTTTGGTGAAACCATTTAATGAAAAAAAAACTGAAGTTAAACAGCTTTCTTTCCATATTCACAACTTAAGATGTGTAAAACAAAGTGAATTCTAGCTGAGGTTTATCCAAATGAAACAACATGGAAAGCTTAATGATTATGCACACATTTGTAATGTAAACTAGCAATCACAGTGACTGCAATGGCTGATGTATATGGTAACTGATCTGGAGTTGGTATTTAATGGATTTGTGAAACAGTGCTTTATTTTGGTCAGAATTAATTACTCTAGTAAGTTGCCATCTGTAATAGGAAGCTATCTTTAGGGATAGTCTCATGTAATTTTCTTTTATAGCACTTAACCATAATTGTAATTTATTTGTGTAATTTCTTGGTTAATGTTTATCTTCCCAATGATAGCATATATAGCAGTGTAGCAAATGCTGTCCTTGCTCTGCTCACATTTCCTTGGCACTTACCATTTCAATACATGCCAACCTGCTTTCCAACTGACAGCACCTGTGACTTATTTCCTGCGAGGTTTCTCTTGGCCGCAGACACTTGCTCTGCCTGTGTGGAGGCAGGCAGGAAGTACCAGGGATTTAATGCTGTTTGAGAGAGGTCTTTTAAAACAATGACTGATGGGAGTTGGTGGGTAAATACTCCAGTTTCCTTGCCTCTTGTGCATGATAACTTCCTCAAAGCATTTTCTGCACCACTGGGTACTCAAGGTGTGATCCACAGACCTGTAACATTAATGTTACAGTTGCACAGGAGTAAGTTAGAGCTGCAGATTCTTAGAACCCACCCCAAAACTACGGAATCAGAATCTCTGCAAATGGGGACCAAGAATATATGCTTAAATGGGTGATATTTATACACTCTAAAGTTGGAGAGACACTATTCTTGAGTTCCTCAAAAGGGTTAAGTTGCCTACAATAGTAACTTGCTTGATAATAAACCCTTTATCAGCTTCCTTTCCTTTCTCACTTCCCTGCTTCCCTACCAGTCTTTCTTGAAATCATACCCCAAAAAACTACATGCACTTAAATGTTGCATTCAGTTTTGCCTTATAGTTTGCTTCTGGGAGAATCCGTATTGACAGGGACCATGACAAATTGATGCATGAATTCTCTTCGTAGGTGTGACTCACCTACTTGCTACTTTTTCTAGTTTTATGGTTCTCTAGTTCCAGTTTTCCATCCATTTCTGCCACCTGCTGAAAACTCAGTAAGTCTGTCTAGCAGCATATTAGACACAAGTGAAGAGAGAATTTTTGAAATGAAATATATATCAGAATAAATTGTCCAGAATGCATAAGAGAAAGAAATAGAAAATATGAGTGAAACAATAAGGAGGATAGAATAAGAAGCTCCAACATCTACTTAATTGAAGTATCCACTGCAGAGCAGAGAGAGAATGGAATAGAGGCATAATTTAAAGTGATAATGCCTGATAATTTTTCAAAATGGATCAGTCATACTAATTCACAAATTCAAGAAGTCTAACAGTTTCCAAGTAGGAAAAATAATATGAAATCCATGTATAGACCCAGTATAATAAAATGGCAGAGCCTCAAAGAATATCTTGAAAGCAGCTGGAGAGGAAAAAGACTATCTTCCTACTAGGAGAGCTACACTGTTAGATGACTTTTTAACAGCATTAATGGAAGACAAAATACAGTGTATTTATACTTTTCAAATCCTGACAGAAAAAAGCTGTCTTTCTAGAATGACTTGTTTCCTTCCCTATAGCTGCAGCATTGTTTGAAACCACCAAACATTTAGGTCTATGATTTATTTCTAACTTTTATTTATTTTGTACCACAGAAGGTCAAAAGTTTTTTTTTTTTTTTTTAAACATAGGTATCTAATTGCTCCAGCAGCATTTGTTGAAAGACAGTTTTTGCACCCAATGAATTAACTTTATGCCTTGGTCAAAAATCACTTGACCATGATGTGTAGGTTTGAACTCTCTTATATTCTGTTTTTATTATTTTACCTATTTATTATGATCTGTGTTCTAATATAGATTTATTATAGATATATCTCTGTATCTCTTATGTGAAGAACACATTGTCTTGATTAATGTAGCTTTATAGTAGGTTTTGAAATCAGTGTTGCTACCTGTTTTTTAAAATAATTATTTTGGCTTTATATGCATTTCCATATAGCATTTGGTCTCAGTTCAATTTTACAAAAAAATCTAGTTATATTTGATAGGGATTGTGTTGAATCTGTTACTAATTTGACATCTTAATAATCTTGAGTTTTGCAATTAATGAATATGTGATATCCACTTATTTAGGTTTTAATTTTTTCTACCAATCTTTTGTCTAGACTGCAGCTTCTTGAGCAAAATAAATGTTGTTTTAAGCCACTGAGTTTTGGGGTTTGTTGCCCAATAGTAGATAATCAGAGCACAT